ACACCTGTAATCCTAGCTATTCAGGAGGCTGAGACTCCTATCTCCAATAAACCACCAGAAAACCAGAAGTGGTGCTGTGGCTCAAGTGGTAGAGCGCTCGCCTACCACTGAGCTGAAGAGCTGAGGGACAGCGCCCAGGCCTAGAGTTCAAACCCCACGACCGAAAAAAAAAAAAAAAAAAAGTAAACAACTGGCCACTCAGTGTAGTCTGGATTTAATGATCCAACATGTAATATTTTATTTTGTTTGTTTTTTGAGAAAGGGTCTTGTGTGGTAGCCAAGGCTGGCTTTAAACGTGTAAACTTAACCTCGGCCTGAGTGAAGTGCTAGGTTACAGGTGCATGCCACCGTACTTGTAATTTTAAAATATTAAAAGTGATTAGAGAAGCACACTTCTGTTTGTCACCAGAAAAATGGATGAAGGTTTCCAGTCTCCCCACCCCCCATCCTCAGTTCACATGCAAAACCATAGGTCTTTGAGATCCACTCATGACAAACATTTCAGGTTATCTCACAAGCTGGAAATTTTAGCAAGGATTTATTTTAATGTTTATTTAGTACAACAGGGCTAAAGTAGGGAGAAGTAAAAAGAAGAAAAAGAAAAAGGAACACTTGCTGTTACTTGCAGGCTATGGGAGTTAAAGATTCAAAATGGCAGTTATTGTCTGTTGCCCTTTCATTCTTTCTCTTTTTAAACAATAGTTTGTGGACTGGGAATGTGGCTTAGTGGTAGAGTGCTTACCTTGCATCCATGAAACCCTGGGTTTGATTCCTCAGTACCACATTCACAGAAAAAGCTGAAAGGGGTGCTATGGCTCAAGTGGTATAGAGTGCTAGTCTTGAGCAAAGGAAGCTCAGGGACAGCGCCCAGGCCCTGGGTTCAAGCTCCAGGACTGGCAAAAAGAGAAAGAAGCAAGCAAGCAAGATAGAAAGAATTAAGTTTGTGAGCCAGATGCTGGTGGCTCACATCTGTAATCCTAGCTACTCGGGAGGCTGAGATCTGAAGATCACAGTTCAAAGCCAGCCTGGGCAGTTAAGTCTGTGAGACTCTTATCCCCTATTAACCACCAGAAAACTGGAAGTGGCACTGTGGCTCAAGTGGTAGAGCACTTGTCTTGAGTTGAAGAGCTCCGGGACAGTGCCCAGGCCCAGAGTTCAAGCCCCACAACTGACCAAAAAAAAAAAAAACCCTCAAAACAAAAAACTTAGATAGGTGGGCTGGGAAGGTGGCTCAGTGGTAGAGCGCTTGCCTTGCATGCTTGAGGCCCTGGGTTTGATTCCTCAGCACCACATAAGCAAAAAGAAAAAAGCCGGAAGTGGCGCTGTGGCTCAAGTGGTAGAGCGCTAGCCTTGAGCTGAAGAGCTGAGGGACAGCGTCCAGGCCCAGAGTTCAGGCCCAGGACTGGACCCCCCCCAAAAAAACCCAAAAAAACTTAGATAGGACCTTAGCCCAGGCTAGCCTCAAACTCTAACACACACTCTCTCTCTCTCTCTCTCTCTCTGTCATGCCAGTACTGAGGCTTGAACTCAGGGCCTTTCACTCTTACTTGCCTTTTTCTTTTTCTTTTCTTTTTTTTTTTTTGTCAGTCATGGGGCTTGAACTCTGGGCCTCAGCGTTGTCCCTCTCTTCAGCTCAAGGCAAGTGTTCTAGCATTTGAGCCACAGTGCCACTTCCAGCTTTTTGGTGGTTTTTTTTTTTTTTTTTGTCGGTCGTGGGGCTTGAACTCTGGTCCTGGGCGCTGTCCCTCAGCTCTTCAGCTCAAGGCGAGCGCTCTACCACTTGAGCTACAGCGCCACTTCCGGTTTTCTGGTGGTTTATTGGAGATAGGAGTCTCACGGTCTCTTTGCCCGGGCTGGCTTTGAACCGCGATCCTCAGATCTCAGCCTCCTGAGTAGCTAGGATTACAGGCGTGAGCCACCAGCGCCCGGCTTTTTTGGTGGTTTTTATTGGAGATAAGAGTCTTACAAGGAGGAGGCTACAATGCTTGATAAGGAATGTACTTATTATCTTGCCCATGTAATTGTAACCCCTCTGTACAGTATTTTCACAATAAAAAAAAAATCTCCAAGGGGGGGAAAAATGTCTTACGGACTTTCCTGCCTGGATTGGCTTTGAACCTCAAACCTTAGATCTCAGCCATTGGTGCCCAGCGACTTGCCTTTTTCTCTAAAGTCTGGTAGTCTATCACTTGAATCACACCTCCTGTTCCCTGTCTTTCTTTCTTTCTTTCTTTTTTTTTTTTTTTGCTGGTCATGGGGCCTGAACTCTGGACCTAGCGCTCTACCACTTGAGCCACAGTGCCACTTCCAGGTTTTTTTGTTTGTTTGTTTGTTTTTTAATGTGGTGCTGAGGAATTGAACCCAGGGCTTCATGCATGCAAGGCAAGCACTCTACCACTGAGCCACCTTTCCAGCCCAGAGAGTACATTTTTTTTTTTTTTTTGCCAGTCCTGGGGCTTGAACTCAGGGCTTGGGCACTGTCACTGAGCTGCTTTTGCTCAAGGCTAGCACTCTACCACTTGAGCCACAGAGCCACTTCCGGCTATTTCTGTTTATGTGGTGCTGAGGAATTGAACCCAGGGCTTCATGCATGCTAGGCAAGCACACTGAATCACATTCCCAGCCTGTCTTTTTTCTTTTTTTCAAATTTTATTTTATTGTAAAGATGCTGTACGAAGGGGTTACAGTTACATGAGTAAGGCACTGAGTACATTTCTTGTGCAGCATTGTTACTCCTTCCCTGTTGTTCTCCCACTATCCCTTCCCTCCCCACCTCCCTCACTCTTCTCCAGCCCTGAAGTTGTAAAGTTCATTTCCAATATATTGTCTTGTGGGTATCATTGTTGCCATGGGTCATCCTGTGTTCTTGTTTCAGCGTTTTGTTATTCCCTTTCCCCTCCCCAAATTAGACAGATGTATATACAAGATGCTGTCTTTCTTTTTTCTAAGCTTGGGAATACATGTTCATATCAGTCCAGTGCTACTGTCCAGGGGTACTGGTCCATACCTTACCAGGTAGAGAATTAAGAGGCAGAGAAGTAGGAGAAGGTGGCAAAGCTGCAAGTTTATTGAAAGCAAAATTAGAGGGAATCACAGACTCTCTGTAGAGAGAAGGTCCCAGGCCCAGGTCTGATGAAATCTTCCAGGGAAGTAATCTTTATGCTTTAGTAAGTCTCTCTCTCTCTCTCTCCCCTCTCTCTCTCTCTGTTGAAAATATAATTTTCCTGTTTCCTCATCTATTCTGCCTCAGTTCTTAAGCTTGTGGCGTTGTAAAATTCCTATAATTGCTGGTGATCACTGTTCCATTGATCTATGTGATGTTTATCCCCTAAACTGCAAATGGTCAGGTAATTGCAACGATACAACCTTTTAGCCATACGAGGTCAGGCAAGGTCTACCATTCTTAAAAATTTATTTTTTTGTTAATAGTGTTTTTTTCTTTTTTTGGTCGGTCATGGGGCTTGAACTCTGGGCCTGGGCACTGTCCCTGTGCTCTTCAGCTCAAGGCCAGGGCTCTACTGCTTGAGCCACAGTGCCACTTCCAGGTCTACCATTCTTTAAGGCTCTGGCGGAAGTCTTGAATTACTATTGGGTTAGTAAAGCAACCAACAAGCTGTGGCTTCAAAGTGAAAGGCTTAAGAAAGAACTACTAAGGGGCTAGGAATGTGGTTTAGTGGTAGAGTGCTAGACTTAATCAAAGAAGCTCAGGGACAGTGCCCAGGCCCTGAGTTCAAGCCCCAGGACTAGCAAAAAGCAAGGAAGGAAGGAAGGAAGGAAGGAAGGAAGGAAGGAAGGAAGGAAGGAAGGAAGGAAAAAAGTGTTATTACTTGGCCCTAGTGGTTCATGCCTTTAATCCTAGCTACTTGGTCTGGAGGCTGAGATGAGGATTATAGTAGGAAGCTTGCCCAGGTTGGAAACTCCATGAGACTTTTATTGACAATTAACCATCAAAAAGTCACAAGTGGAGCAGAGGCTCAAGTGGCAGAGCATTAGCCTTGAGAGAAAAAGCTAAGGGGCAGCCCCAGGTCCTGAGCTCAAGCCCCAGGACATACGCCTAAAAGAAAAGAAAAGAAAAGAAAAAGAAAGACGCTTTCTGGCCCTGTACAGTTTTAGCAGTGGCTCTCCAAAGTGGTCCGAGATCAGCAGCTTGAGCGGGTTCCAGGATCTGGTCGGAAATGCAAATTCAGCCTTCTAAACTCAGCACCTCTGGGGGTGGGGCCCAGTGCCTTAACCCTGCGGACGAGCCCGTGGCTGGGCGCAAAGCCCTTCTTTAAAGCCGCCCAAGTATCTTCCATGTGGGCATCCATCACCTGTGGGGGGGGGGGGGAGTTGAGAAATGCAGAGTCTCGGGCTGCACCCCAATACTTCCCCCTCCCGTTCCCCCAGCAAAACCTGCTCCTAACCCTCTTTCAGGGAATCCCCAATCTGACGCCAGGTGCAGACCTCCGGGTCGGCACCCAGCAATGCAGACCCCCCCCCCCCTCCAGCCGGCTAAGCCACCCCACGGCGGCGTCACTGGAAAAGCGGCGAGACTGGTGTAAAACACGCAACCCCGGGAGAGCGCGGCGCGCCGCCCACTGCTGGACACCAGCCGGCAGCGATGGCAGGGCTCCGGGTCCAGCCGCGTGAAACCCGGGGGCCGGGGGCGGGACCCGGAGGGGAGACCCCGGGGCGCGCGCCGTGCGTTCCAGGTGGGTCCCCCGGAGCAGGTGTGACGCGAAGGGTGGAGAAAGCGGGGCGAGCTTTCCGTCCCGGGGTTCGGGGAATGAAAGGAACGGGAAGGAGACCGCGCGGGGGGGGGGGGGGGGTAGGGGCGAGGCCCGCCCCGGGGATGCTCCGGGGCGTGATCCGGGCTGGGGGCGGGAGGGCGAGGGTCGGGGGCGGGGAGGGAGGTGGGTCCCGGGCCGGCGTGGGGGCGGGCGGCTCCGCGGCTCCCCGCCTCCGGCCCGCCCCTCCGCGGCGCCATTTTGCAGGCGGCTGACGCGGGGACCGGAGGCGGCGGCAGCGGCGGCGGCGACGGCGGCAGCGGGCACTGCGGCGCCGAGGCACGGAGACCGGACGGGAGCACAGCGAGCAGCGGCCAGGTGAGAGCCGGACCCGCCGCGTCCCCCCACGCCCCTCGTCCAGCCCGAGGCTCGCACCTGCCGGCCGGGTCGCCAGTGGCCCGCCGCGCCCACGAGGCCGGCCTGGCACGGCCCCCTCGCGCGCTGTCACCGACCCCGAGGCGCGGCCTGCGCCCTTCCACACCACGGGGCACCCGAGGCCCTGTGCCCGCGGGTCACCCCTGTCCTGAGGCCCGAGATGCCCATCGGCCCCAGTCCCTCGCGTCCCCGGCAGGCCTGGTTGGGGCCCCCTGGGCGCTCACCCCTGCCCGGCGTGGGAGCCGCCGCGCGCTCCGGGGAAGACAAGTGGGGTTCCCCTAGATCCGAGACCCGCGGGCCGCCCCCGCCTCCACCCTGCACCCCCCCTCCCCGCGCTGCATCCGGGGGTCCCGGGTTCGATCCTCTCGCTTCTCCCTAGGTGATGCGAGCCGGCATCATCCTTGCGCCCCCGGAATTCGGAACCAGGCAAAGGGGTGACCGGGGTATGTGTGTGCGGGGGTGGGGGGGTGGGGGTGCCATCTACATGCTTGCTTCCTGCCCTCCCATAAAGGCTGCGACAAGTAATTTTTAGAAGCATCTGTTACGACAGACATCTGGGCCATTCTCTCTGGTCTGCCCCTCAGGAGTCAGGGCTCCCTCCACTGTGGTTGGCACCTTTCTGGGTTAGAGAAATGGATGTTTGGAGTGTGGTTTTGAGTATCGGTTGGCCCTAAATATCCCCCTTGGATGGATAGCCGGTAGGAACTCGGCTTACGGGCTAGGAGAGATCTTAAGCATGACTGATGGGAAATTATTGACTTTCTGCAAAGGGTAAATGAGGGCAAATACAGGTGGAGGGAAGTTACCCGCTAGGGCTTTCTGGGGCCGGAGGTGGAGGGGCTTTTGCAGTGGTTGTTAGTGTTGTTGTTGTTGTTTGCAGTGCTGGGAGAAAGGGGACGGAAGATGCCGTCCCTGCTGACATTTGGGTCGTGCGTAAGCAGGAAAGGCCAGGGATGTGCGAGGACGTGGGACCCGAGTCCGGGGACGGTCTGGCGTTAGCTGTCATGAATTGACCGTGTGACCTCAGCCAGTTTCCTCCTCGCTAAAGCAAGAAGGCTGGAATCCGGGCTTGGCTGTCGCCTTTTTGTTTTCATGATTTTTGCATCTGAGTGCTGTAGGGCTCCGGCCTCACCTGTTTCAGTCGCCTGCACTTACCTTTTCACCTTTTCATGTGACTGCCAGATGTCCAGAAGGTGTCTGGCTCAGGGAAGATTTATTAAGGGCCCTTTCGAGCCTCCACATTCAGAATTCTGGGTTAGAGTTGACCCCCGCACGGTCACTTATGAATGCAGAACTACTGGCCGCTCTGCGCTCATCCAAAATTAATAGCTTGTGGGCTCTTCTGGATCTGAGCAGTGCAAGCCCTTGTGACTCACCTGCTAGTTAAAGGAGACGTTGGGTGTGTCCAGCCAGACACCTGGGCTACCGACTTGGGGTGTCTGCTTTCTAGGCTATTTACTTTGCTGAAAGCCATTGGCTTTATTTTTAGTTTTTGTTTTGTTTAGTTTTAAGTTGCTTTGCTTGGGTGACAAGTGATTTTTGTAACAGGTATTTTCTCAAACTTTTTTGTTAACTGTTTTTCTCAAGATGGTTCATGGCAGTCCTGTGCTTGCTAAGGCAAGCAGTTCTAACCCTTTGAGCCATGTCCTCAAAGCTGGCAGTAGTTTCTGATTGCATGTTATGCTGAGATTATTAAACATCTATTAAGATGCTTAACATCAAGTGTGGTGGCACATGTCTGTAATCTCATTACTCCATACACAGGTAGAGGTAGGAGGATTAGGAAGTTGCTGGCAGGCCTGGACTGCATGGAAAGACCCTGTCTCCAAAACAGTGTACAAAACGTTTATGAAAGTACCTTATAGAAGGTTTTGCTACTTTTCTTACCTTGAGCTTGTCTGCTTGTGAAGTACTGTACAAGTGGTTCCCATCCAGTCATCCAGTCTATCCATCCATCCATCCATCCATCCATCCATCCATCCATCCATCCATCCATCCATCCATCCACCCACTTACTCATCCCTGCCCCATTTTTTTAAACAAATCATTCTTGATTAAAACCTTGTTTATTTGTTTCATTTTTGTACTTAAAGAGCCTAAAGTCTGATTTGTTGATTATTGGAAGTACTAAGTTAGTTCTTTCCATTCTCTTGAGTGTCTTTAAAGTCAAGCATGGAGCTGGGTGATGGTGGCCCACGCTGGTAATCCTAGCTACTCAGGAGGCTGAGATTTGAGGATTACGGTTCAAAGCCAGCTGGGGCAGGGAAGTCCGTGAAACCCTTATCTCCAATTACCCACCAGAAAACCGGAAGTAACACTGTGGTTCTAGTGGTAGACTGCTAGTCTTGAGCTGAAGAGCTGAAGGACAGTGCCCAGACCCGGAGTTCAAGCCCTACCACTGACAAAAACAAAAACAAACAAGACAAGCGTGGGCTCCATCTGGGGATCCATATCCAGTACCAGTAGTAGGTTAAGGAACTTTCTCATTTTGGTGAACTTTACCATTTTGGTGAACTTTCTCATTAAAAGTGCCGAAGTAATAATTAGCAATTATATTGTTGCTTTGTACCTAAAAATGGAAGCTTTTAAGAACCTTATTTTTATTTAAAGTTCTTAGGTTTTTAAGTTTAAATATCTTAACTGCCCCCCTTTGACCTGTTTTCCTGACCTTGCTTATAAAAGTTCCCCAGCCTGATAACCCCATTAATTCATCTTTACATCCTGCTGTTCTCCCAGTCATTCTTTCTCTTCAGAAGGCTAAGACTAAGTTTGCTTTTATTCTTTCCTTTCTGCTTCAGGCTAAGCTGTGCATTACTGCCTCAGGGTTTAAACAAGCCCTTTATGCACCCTGAGTCAATCTTCTCATTTTCTCCCTGGCTTTGCTGTTTTTAGTCTGTTACTTTGTCTAGGTCAGAGGTGGGAAACCATGTTTCTGCCTTTGTTCATGGGCCATACAAAATTATCAATACAGGTGTAGGGGCTAGTGGTGGCAAACCCAGAAGCACATGTATGTCTATCATATGATGGGCCAAATAATTTTTTTAGCCTTATGTACACATAGGAAATGAGAAGAATCTAGAATTTAGGTTATAGCTCTTCCATAATTGAGATCTGCTTTCAGTCTGTACCTTTCCTGAACCTTTTGAAGTTTCTCTCTATCTTTCTCTCTCTCTCTCTCTCTCTCTCTCTCTCTCTCTCTCTCTCACACACACACACACACACACACACACACACACACACACACACACACACACCATCCCATCTTATCTCATAATCTATTTACTTTGTAAGAGCTTGTAGACAGGTCCTGGGGCTTAAACTCTAGGTCTCGGCACTGTCATTGAGTTTTTTTTGCTTTAGGCTAGTGCTCTACCACTTGAGTGCTCTTCTAGCTTTTTGGTGGTTCATTGTAGATTGGAGTCTCCAGGCACTGGTGGCTCGTGCTTGTAATCCTAACTACTTAGGAAGCTGAAATCCTAGGACTAGTTCGAAGCCTGCTGCGGCAGGAAAGTCTGTGAGACTCAAATCTCCAATTAACTGCCAGAGACTAGAAGTGGACCTGTCGCTCAAAGTGGTTGAGCACTAACTTTGAGCAAAAGAGCTCAAGGACAGAGCCCAGGTCCTGAGTTGAAGACCCACAACTGACAAAAAACAAAGTTTCCTGGACTTCCCTGCCTGAGCTGCCTTCAAACCAGGATTATCAGATGTCAGTTTCTTGAGTAACCAGGAATGTGGGTGTGAGCCACTATCACCCAGCTTTAGGTTTTGTTTTGTTATCTTTTCTGGTTCTGAGGATTGAACTTGGAGTCTCTTAGCTTGCTCTTTGAGCCACACCCTAAATCCCTTTAGTTTTATTTTCAGTGTTTTAAGGCTTATCTCAAAAGGCGCATCTTTTCCCTTCCCAGTGCTGGTGATATGTTTACCACCACACCTAGTCCTTCATTTATTTATTTTGATAAGTTGCCTTGCTTACTTGCCTAGTTGGGCATCAAACTCCTGAGCACATGCCTCAGCTTCTCCAGTAGCTAGGCCACACTCTCAGCTTTTACACGTTTAATACCTTGAGTGTCTGCTTAGTGAGGACAGTATTCTTGGTGGTCAGGTTCTGCAGGGAGATTGCTTGTCCAAATGGAGCTTACACTCTAGTCGGGGAGGTAGGTAGTAAGACTTCCCAAGAATGTCAGGTCCTGCATGGAGCTGAAACTCCCTGAGACTGGGAAGACGTATTATTCTTTGCAGGCTGCCATAACAAAATGCCACAGATTGGGAGTCTAAAATACAGAAATTTATTTCTCATAGTTCAGGACGCTGCAAGTCCAAGGTCAAGGTTCTGGCTTATTTGGTTTCTGTTGATGGCTCTCTGCCTGCTTGGTAGGTAGCAACCTCCATTGAGTGTTTACTTGGCTTTTTCTCAGGGCCATCTCTCTGTCTCTTTCCTTCTCCTCATTTTTTCTCTTGTTGCTGGAGATTAGAGCCAGAGATAGGACATACTAAGCATGTGCTACTACTGAGCTACACTTCAGCCCTGGTTGTAGCTTTTTTTTTTGGCCAGTCCTAGGGCTTGAACTCAGGGCCTAGGCATGGTTCCTGAACGTATTTTGCTCAAGGATAGCATTCTACTACCATTTGAGCCACAGTGCCACTTCCAGCTTTTTCTGTTTATGTGGTACTGAGGAAAGGAACCCAGGGCTTCATGCATGCGAAGCAAGCACTTTACCATTAAGCACATTCCTAGCCCCGATTGTAGCTTTTTTTTGGGGGAGGGGTCCGGTCATGGGGCCTGAGCTCTGGGCCTGGGCGCTGTCCCTCAGCTCTTCAGCTCAAGGCTAGTGCTCTACCACTTGAGCCATAGCGCCACTTGCGGCTTTCTTCTTTTTGCTTATGTGGTGCTGAGGAATCGAACTCAGGGCCTCAGGGATGCAAAGCAAGCGCTCTACCACTGA